TTTTTTATGATTTAAATGCTACTATACCAGCATCTTAGTACTAAACAAAGTTTTTTGTAATGTCTCCTAAGAAATCTGAACATGAAAGTCACATTTGATTTTGTGATGATTTTATCTATTTTTGACAACAACTCAAACATTTCCTGGTCTGATGCAGGTGTATCAGACACTCAGGAGATTGAGAAAGCAGTAAAGAAGGCCATTGATGGCAGATACCCCTTATACAATCTTGGTTTTGGCAGTGGTGTTGACTACAGCTTCTTGGAGAAGATGGCACTGGAGAACAAAGGATTGGCCCGTCGGATTTATCCTGACTCTGATGCAGCTTTGCAGCTTCAGGTGCAGTAATTACCACATACATTAGACCAGAGATACATCAGTTCAGATATCTATACAGACAGTCTTATATTCAGGTTATCAAAATCCCAGTGTAATCTGATATTGAGATACTCCAGAGTCTTCTGTAAGTCTTCTGTAATCAGAGCATTAAAATCATAGAACAGTTTGAGTTGGAATGGACCTTTAGTTGCATTTCATTTTCCCCTTCCCTTATATAAGCAGGAAGTGCAAAGAGAGTAAAAGGAAGATGCTGTGGGCTATGGCAGAGTTCAAAACTTGGCACAGGGTGATGCAAGACACTCTGGTGTGCAGCAAAATTGCTGCRGTCATTATATCTCCTGCACCTCACAGATCATGTGGTTGATGTCATGTCAAGGGACAAGAGAGTAATAGAATACCTATCTAGGTATTCTATCTTTACTACAAGCAAATGTATCTTACCATACTTTTGAGGTATTTTAGAGTTGTATAAGACATGGAAATGGGTATAGGCCATACAGGGTTGACTATTTTTTTGCTTCTCTCATTTCAATAGCAACCATTCAAAAAAAAATCACCAAAGAATTAGATATTGGATTTCATTGCAAGTTCTGCTAAAATCAAATACCCAATCTCCTTTGATTATGGTGTCATGTCAGTCTCTGTAGAGAAGACATCTAGAAAATTATCAAATAGCAGGAAGCTTGGGATCCCTCTTGATTTATATTGATGGAGCTCATCATGCACAGCATGTTGGTCTCAGATATTTTTCCTCTCTCTTAGCAAGACTGAAGGGTTTGTATGTCCTTTCTAGTTTACATTATTGTACACTTTCAGGCCTTGTACTCTGAGATTTAACCAAATATTTAAATATTTTTTATTAAATATACTTTGAGTATTCATTGCTGAAATAGCAGGATGTTTCTGGTTACAGATCTACCAATGAATTAAGGAAACAATGATAGTTAAATGCTTTCTTGCTTCCTTTATTTTTTTAAAATCTCACAGGGGTTTTATGATGAGGTATCAAATCCCATGCTCATAGATGTGGAGTTAAACTACCCAGAAAATGAAATAWCAGACCTAACTACCAACAGTTTTAAGCATTTCTATGGTGGCTCTGAGATTGTGGTGGCTGGGCGCTTTGTGGACAGCAACCAAAACCATTTGACTGTAGATGTGAGAGGTGAAGGTGTAAGTATGGATYTCTTTGACTTATGTAAGCTACACAAAATCTCAGAATGTTTCTTTACCTGTATTCTGATGAACAAAAATGCCATGTGAATTTGGAAACTGGGTTATCTTTGGTAGTGCACACCTCTAAACTTCACAGAAACAATGGGACAAAATTCCTCATACAACACTGAAAATTTCCTGGGCAAAGTGCTGTGTAGAACTAGACTGGTTTTCAATTTAATAAGATTTTCAGGTGTGACGGTCTTAATTTTTGGGATGTTCTGACAGTCCCTGGCTACTTGTGTTACGGAGAACATCTTACTCCCAACAGGCTAACGATGCCCTGTCATACAGTACACAGCAAGATGCTGAGCAGACAGCTCAGGCTTTCCAAGAACAACAATACATATTTGGAGATTATATTGAAAGGCTCTGGGCTTATCTTACCATTGAACAACTCTTGGAAAAACGGTAATTATACCTGCAATATCATTTTAGCTATGAACCTCTTACACCATCTGACTCCTTCTAGGATGTGAAGCTGACATTTCACATCCCACWGAGGTGCCARTGGGAAGGCATAAAAATCAGTGAGGGAAATCCACCAACCTGTTCTTCTCCCTAGCCTCAGTATTCCTGTTTTGGTTGCAAATTAARCAATGTTAAATTATTGCAAGTATAAAGCACAGTTTTGCTTTTCTCTTGGATAGCCAATGGAATCAGAAGTGCTCTTAGACTGTAACAAATATGTSTTACTGATAAATTACCTGCAGAGGAATTACTTCACTTTAAAGTGAAATATTTAATCTGAAKTTTGGTGAGTAATTCAGCAATCACTGATACTAGGAGTCTCTACCTATATTCAGTATTACAGCTACAGGGGAAGAAAAGGAAAACCTTACAGCTGAAGCCCTGGCTCTCTCACTAAAGTACAAGTTTGTAACACCACTGACATCCATGGTGGTAACAAAACCRGAAGAAAATGAAGAAGGGATTGCTGATAAACCCACTGAAGGTATAGACATCTTCACAATTGTACTGTATTTGAGAAGCCAGGTGTTCCTGGCTTTCATGTGGGCACAGTTTTAAATATGTATCTGAAAAATCTACTTTCCAAGCCTGGCATGTGTGTGGTTTATGAAAAATTGCTTTTCATTGTAAAGCTCATTTCCATGAAACCATCCTTCATTACTAAATAATATGAGAAAAGTACTCTAAATTTAAAATAAATGTATTTTAAACTAAATATATAAACTATTACAGAAAAACACCCTGGAAACCAAGAAGCATTTATAATCTAATAATCCAGCTATATTCAGATGACTTTAGTTTCACCTTTATTTTTCTACATACTTCAGCCTATGGGTAGAAGTAGTAACCTCTTTCCGCATGAAGAGGAAAAATTTGCATGAGCTCTTCCTCAGGCAGGATGTATCAGGTTGCAAAAAGATTGAGGTTACAAATGTAAAACTCAGTGTTCGTCTATATTACAGAAAGAGAAGCAATTATATTGAAAGCACACAATTTGTTTTCAACTCCTCTGATACTTCAGCTAATTATGAACCACATACTCAGTGAAACATAGTACTTTCATAGTGTTCAGCCTCTCTGTTTAACCCCTGAGTAACAAATGCTTTATTGCTCTTCAGTGAATCAAGGCATTGCTGTCTGCTTGGTGTGGCCCCAAGCCGCCCTAAATTCATCTGCATGTATTGTTTGAGCCATCCTTACCTCTCCCTCATCCTACAGGTCTGACAGAGACTTTCCAGTTACTTCTATCAGCATCCATTATTTTTTTCCCCAAACTTTTGCTTAGAGCCCCTAAAAGGTCCTTACAGGCTCTGTGTGGGCTCTCTGCTGCCTTCTAGATGAAAAAATTTCTAATCTCCTGATTTTGGCGTAGGAACTTAAGGCATTTTAGCATAACAGAGATACTGAAGATTAGTGAGATTTTTTCAGCTGCAGTAACCAGTGCGTTGCTCAGTGCCCTTCAAATCTAAATAATTCTTCAGACATTCTGCTGATAAATTTTTGCATTCTTTWACATAACTCTCATAATGGAATGCTGACATAAAAGCCTTTCGTGATTGATTTAACATTCAAGTCACTATATAGCATAATGACTTTAAAGTTTACAGCTGGACTGCATAAGATGGAAACCTCAAACATCTGACAGAAGTGGCATCCACTCACTCATCTTCAGTTCTTTGCTTTCCATTTCCAGGTACTTACAGTACAAAGKCTCTTTTCTGAATTTCTTTCCAAGGAAATCCTCTCTGTATGTAGGAAGTATAGAGCAGTAACAGCAGAAAATATTCAAAGCACTGCTTCTATATAAGGAAAGAGTAATTTTTCTCACCCTGAAGTCTCAATTCACAAATTAATTTACTAAATCATCCAATCAGCATCAATAGATTCATCTAAATGCCTCAAAAATCACAAATTAGCAAAACCAATAAGGAACATTTTGTACTATAGGTATGSCCTAACAATAAAACAAATTCCAAATAGAGCTCTTGTTCCATACATAATAAACCAGAGTTCTGTTCTCCCACATAAGAGGGTTTTTTGTTTTTTTTTCAATAAGTTTCTGTTTATTCTACAAATACTGAGTTGGATCATTGGGAAAAAATGGAATTGCAAACTACTGAAGATACCTGATTGAGTTGTCAAACAGTTTTAATTATTTTTACAATGTTTTAATAGGGTGACAATCCTTCCTGTTTAATTGAATAACTGGAACTATTGATTTCTCTTTTTCTTCTTTTTACTTCCTACTTGCCTGTGGTAACAGCTGAAGGTATGTACAATTCTTATTGAATTTACTGAATATTTTTAATAGAGATGGATTTCCTACATTACTTATTTGATCTAGGATGCAATATTTGAATAAAATTCTTGATGAATTAATCAAGATCATGTTACAAATAGATGTAAARCTTTTCAGATGGGTAAGTTTGTGAATAGTGCTTTCAGTTCAGCTCCTGTCTCTGATGGCTGCAGCATCCCACCACCACAAAATTCAGGCCCAGTACAAGTAAGTTGCTCTCCAGGGCTGGCTCTGGGTATTTCCAGGCACCTGTGTGTAGCAATCTCATATAGAGATGTCTTCATTCATGCAATGATTGTCACTTCTAAAGCACAAAGCCCTGTCTTCAGACACCCTGGCAGAATTTCACATGCAAAAACAGTTGAAGAGCACAAAAATGTGGAACCAGTGGGCATACCTAACTTCCCAAAAGTAAGTTTGGAACCAACTGGCACACAGGGATTAGAGAAAAGCAGGTTGTCCCTACTTACAGAAGTAACATTTTTGCTGAAAAGCAGGGTGTGCTTTCAGCTTCTTCATGACTGTTGCCCTGYCACACTATTAAATAACTTATTTTGACTAAATTTTTATTTTGTAATATTTAGAATTGTATACAMAATTACAAGATTTTGGTTTGGTTTTGGTGGAAGGCAGGAAGTGGGAGAGGTTGGTTTTTGTTCCTTGTAGCCTCTAACATTTTGTTTCATTCAAGCAGGAATGTTCACAGCTCCTGTACTGGGTAAGTAATTAATACAAGTTTTTGAATGGAGCAGGATCTGTCAACTGAAATTACCAGAGAGGTAGAGACTGCCTTTTCTGGCATTACAACTGTACTTWAACAAAAACTACCAAATTCTGCTCACTACTKAAAGCATACCTAAAGATTGAACAAWAAGAGGTGAAAAAGTCTCAGCTGAATAGTTTTTAAGGAGTAAATGCCTGTTCATCAAACCAGTGTTTTTTCCTGAAAGCTGTTCCCAAAGAACAGAGGATGGACTTCAATTTGCATCTCCTTTGCAATATTATAAAGCAAGGAACTATGATGTCAGCATCTCTGGRTAAATTAACATGTTCAGTCACTTGTACAAAAAGCATCTGCTTTATTAAAGAGGCACAGCTACTGATCCATCAAATTGCTGGCTGGGCAATCCTGGAAACGGAGGAGTTAGATTTATGTTTTTGCTCTGGAGATTAGTGCCGGACTGTATCTGTCTGTGTAGCTATTTCAAGTCTTCATGGAAAAGACTCAAATTCATTCTGGGAAAAACACAAATGTCARAAAGTCAGAAGTTTTCAATGGATGATGTTGCATTTCCTTGCTGATACCTTAATCCTCAAGTCTGAAATATATGTGTCCTACAGACATATTACTTAAGCAATGTGGAAAGCAGCAAAGCAATTCAGACTACAAGTGAAATCTGTCTCTATCCTGAAGCCTTTTTTGATTCTAAAGCAGCACAAACTATCATTCCATAGACTACATGCTTTAAAAAATARGATGGAATTAGTGATTTACCTGACATATTAGTTCCCTGACATCTTACATGGACCATGCAGATAGTGTGCAAATTTTCCATTTTTGTGTGAGTTTTTCTGACAACTTTCTTTCCTTCTGCAGGTTCACCAGTAAATTACAGATATGGATCACCACCTCCATGGTACACTAGTGGTGAGTAGTTTGAGTAGTGTCTGTCTAGGAGAASAGAAGAGGGTATTTAAGGCTAAATTAGACAATTCTTGTTAATATTTTCAATAATTCCCTTCCATAAAAGCCGCCATTTTTCATTTTTAAGGAGCAAATATTTTTATTTACTTTAAACATCTCTCAATGTCTTTTAAAGATCAAGGAATTGAAACCAGATGTGGTCATTTTTTCAGTCTTCCTTCCCATCAGTACATTTTGTGTTGATAACTGTTATGAAATAATTTATATTTAGTTATTAAATTTAAATATAAAATAATATTAAATGCTCATTAGGAGCTTTGACTCTGTGTATCACCATACARACACTGTTTCTTTGTCTTTATAGTTGATGGAGATCCACACTTCATTATATCAGTGCCACAAAAAAAGGATGCYATTTGCTTCAATATCAATGAAAACCCTGGTACCATCTTAAATTTAATAAATGACCCAGTTACAGGTGAGTTTTTAACTTTTTTTAAAATACAGTACACCAGGATAATTCTAACAAATTTTTTTTAAAGGCTGTTTTTCTCTTTATAATGCATAAGGGTTTTTTTACCAGCAACGTTACGAGGAGATCCTGTAGCTATGATAGGGTGCCATTACCATGACTTTTTCCACTTCTTGGAGCAAAATGAACTTTTAAACTGTTTGAAAATCACTGTGAGGGTTCAGGGTAGTAATTTGTCTCCTTGAGTTGTAGCAGAAGYAGTAAAATATTCCTTAGGCTACCAGTTCATGGAATATCTGCTAAAGAGAGACTGTCACACAGATTCTCTGTGCCCATCACAAACTCCCTGTGCTCTGGGAAATRTTGAACTTTTCTCAATAAAATGATTGCTGGCTTTGTGGAAATTCACAGAACAGCTCCCAGAACTTTATTTTACTTTGGCACAAAAGTGCACAAGTAATTCTGGTCTATTTTTTAATTCTCATTTAATTCCTTAAGTTGGTAAATTTTCAAGATACTCCTTGACATCAGTTGATTGGGTCCTGTCTGTGAAACAATATTTGTATTTTCATTTCTGTATTAGGCATCACAGTCAATGGAGAACTTATTGGTGATAAGAGAACAAATAGTGAAGCAAACATCCAAAATTCRTATTTTGGAAAACTTGGCATTGCAAATAAGCACCTGGATTTAAGACTGACAGTAACTCCTGAGAAGATCACAATTCAGAATGGTGATGAAAAAACAGGTTTCACCTGGCTGGACTCAGTCACCTTGCAACAAGCAGGGTAAGACTTATTGAAAGGGTATCAGGCTCTTGTATTACTTCTACACRTCTTAAAATATTTTAAAATGTTGATTGATAATATACTTCTAAGATTTTTTTGTGTGAATCTACAAAACAAATTGATTCAAGCCTGCTGGATTCTGCTCTCTGYTTTGTTGTGGAACAGCTGTATTATTCACTAACTCCTCCACTTGGAATAAGTAAATGAAGATTTTYCCCCTTGTTTAATATTACTATGACTAAGGTAAAACTAGGTTTGGTATTGTGGTAATGTAGCAAGTGTCTTACAAATACTTCAGGAGTAATTTCASACATAGTATGTAATCTTTCAAAGGCAAAATGTTTCACAAAATAATCTCCATTTTAAAAATAGAACTTGTGGCAGTTACATAATTGGTGTATTTTGTCTTGTCAACAGGTATATTTCCCATGGGATCTATTACAGAATCATTTATACCTGTGCAAAAGGTTTATAAAAGGAACTGACAACATTTTCTCTTCCTGCTTCTTTGCATTTCACTGKGTAGAATAAAATTCCCTCCTTCTCTAGGGCTGGCAGTGCAGTAGAAAGAGCAATCTGTAAACACGTCATTTGTAAACAGGGGAGTTTTATTATTATCAACACACAGATGATACCACCGACAGAATCTGAAGCAAATCTTCTTTATCCTRGCATTAAAATAGGCAGTTTGGAAGTTGATTTCTCTGAAAAAATAAAGGAAAAGTGTCATATAGCACCCAGGCAAGGAAGTTTTATCAATAGAATTTGAACACTGAGCATGAAGTGCTGTATCTACATATCACAAACCTATCCGTGACTAATTACACTGTTAAAGGACAGGTTTTGCCAAAACTATCTTACTGAAAAGTTTAAAGCCTTTTCCCATGTCATTTCATGTGATTCTGTGAGTGTGAGCACACATACAGAGACTCCCTYGGATGAAACGAGGGAGCAAACACTCTCTTTTAAAAATCACTGAGCAGTTTATAAAGCCACATTTGTTTCTTGGACATGTRTCTTCTTCTCACATTTCTTCCTGTTGCTGTTAAGCCTCGGAAAAACAATGTTCTAAGTAAKGTTTTTCTTTTTTTCCTCAGTTTAACTTTGATAATTAACAGTAAAAGAAATCTGGTSCTCTCAATGGGCAGTGGTGCCTCATTTGTTATTGTTTTGCACCAAGTATGGAAGAAACATCCTCTCCACCGGGATTTCCTAGGACTTTATACATTGAAAAGTGATCAACTATCTGAACAGACCCATGGATTATTAGGTATGACTTTGTTTAGTGTTTCCCTGTTGGTCTTTCCTTAGGAGGCTACATAGTTTATAGGCAGAATATTGTACTTGTGCTGAAAATAATCACACCCAGAAATTTCAGAGATCAGCACATGCATTTGTTGATTTTAAAAAAGCTGAAGATTTGGAGAACATGTAATAAATACAATGGGATAGATAAGATGCCAAGTGAGGCTATCTTGAAGGACATCTAGAAAAGACCATGATTTTACTGCGCACTCAGAAGCTGGAACATACATCCAGATGATATGGACACAATTCTGGGTTATAAACAGAAAATAATACCAGTAATACCACAGGCATATGTTCAGCCTTACCTGAAATTTCGTATTTGGTTACCCAATCAAAACCCTGAAGGGACATGGAAACCAGCACAGAAATGTAGAAATCCTGAGATTTCTGTTTGGTTTGTTTTGTTTTAGTGCCTGAAATTGTAATTTTGGCTTCTATTTTTAGGACAGTTTTTCCGGCCCATCGACTTCACCATATTTGAAATTCATCCTGGATCTGATCCCAAGAAACCAGATGCCACAATGATTGTTAAAAACAATGAACTGACAGTAACAAGGTACAAAATAATGAAGTCCTTAGCAAAGATTTAGGCAAAGATTGCCTTGTCCAAGTGCAGTTCCTACCTCAGTACTCCCATGGCTGTGTTTTCCCTTTCAGGGGCTGGCAGAAGGATTACAGAAGAGATCCTAAACATGGGGTTGACATTCCTTGCTGGTTTGTCCATRACAATGGAGCTGGGCTGATAGATGGTGTTCACACAGATTATATTGTCTCCAGTCTCTTTTAAACAACTACGACCTCCTTCAAATTCACAGGCAGACAGAATACKTGTCTGAAAGAAGAGTATTTTCAACATTATAAAAAGCATATTAAAAGCATATAAGCATATCATGTTTAGCAAGTTCGAGTTACGATGGATTCTCACGGTGAGTTTTACAGTGTATTTGATCAAATCTGAGGGGCAAGGTCCCTCATCCTCTGAAATGTCCTCTCCATTAGGTTTAAAACTCTGAATTAAAATGTTACTTTGTAATACATAACAGAAACTCTCTACCCAATTTTTAATCAATTATTAAGTGTCAGGGGTGATTTAAATAAAAGCATCAGTRTTCAGTGCCTGATTCTGTTACTCCAAAATCTATGGAAGTTCTGTCCAAATGCATTTTGAAATTGAGCACAAGAGGAGACCTGAGAGYCCAGCCCAGATTTCAGGATAATCCCGTGGTACTTGGAACCACCCAACCATTTGACTGTGCAGTGCTKAGGGCTGGTGCCAGCACAGGAGGTGACTGCTAGCATCCAGGACTTCCGTATTTTAGCATTTTAATTAGAACCTAACTTTTGAATGTCCAAATCTTTATAAATAAATAAAATACTACAGTTGCAAGCAGCACTCACATTTAAGTAATAAGAGCTCTTTTGTACTGTATCTTTCTTGTGTAAGACTCCTCCTTCTGCTGCCATAAAAGAACTTATGAACATATTCAGGACAAGAAGTATATAATCATTTTATACTGCAAGAAATCGGAAGCTATTGCTTCTAAAGCAAAAACCCCACCCTACCAAAAACATGTTCTCTCCCCTGCCCTTCTWTATTTCTTATTTACTTCAAGATTTATTTTAATCAAATCAGCCACAATGAGGCAGTTGTGGTCTCACATGGCAGAACAGAAAATTCCCCAAAAGTGGTAGGACAAGGAAAGTCACTGTGTGGAAAACTAGGATGCAGACACACATGAGGAAAGAGGAGTGTCGTGGGAGAAACTGAGATGATACAAGAGGTGATTTGTTAAGTTGAAAGAACAAGGGTAGAGGTGAACAAAAATGCATCAGGAAAATCAAAGAGAAAAGAACAGAGGAAAAATATACTTATTGTTAAATTTGTGGGAGGTACAGGCCTTTTCCAGGAACAAAATTCTTTACTGAAAGCAGTTTTGTAGAAGCAAAAACCTGGTGAGGATAGAGTGTGTCGTAGTGGCTACATATCTCTGCTTGCTAAATCCAGACAAAAGTGGTGAAAGAAAACAATAATTTCTACAGAGGGTAATAAGTTACTGAAAAATGARGGAGGCAGGGAGAGCAATAGGAAGGAATAAGAGAAGACCAGAACATTGCAACTAGCAAGATTATGTTTACATGGTTCTAAATTTTTGTTCTAAGATAACTAATTAGATGGAATAGAATGAAATAAAACAATGATCCATTTTGGATCCTGAGACAGCAGCTCTGGGACTGCCCATCAGGGCTGATCCCATCCTCAACTGCATTAACACAATAAACCAGAGCAGGGGACAGCAGACCTTGACCTACCTGGCTGTCAGTTTGGGCACAAGGCAATCCTGGGCCAGCCAGAACTTTGCTGTTTGGTTTACRGGGATGAGGCAAATCTCCAGAGCTGACAGGATCTTGTCTGTAACTGAAATGGCAGCCACGAGTTGCTCTCGGGCTCTGCTCTGCTTTTGCATGGTTCAAGAAGCACTTGGAGATTCCTGCAAGGTAGGAGATAACAGCAAGTGGAGCTAAAGGTAACAAGGAGSGCAGAGAGAAGCAACAGACAGATGGTTCCAGTTAGACAAAACATTTACTCCTCCTGCTGATGGCTAGAATGGTTGTTAAAAGGCAAGTGTGGGGATATGTCCTGTGAGATATGTTTACATCTGTTACATACACACTGACACTATTTTGCATTGGAATTATAAATTACAGAATGCCARATATTTACTACTGCATCTGCCTTCAGCTTCCAAATGAGGGAAGGGAGCRTAGGAAATCAGAAACCCATCAGAACTCTCCTTGGAGTTTGGAAAGCACAGGAGGGGAGTCACTAAACAACAAATTAAGACACAASTCAGGCGGAGAAGAGTGGAATGACACCCACTTACAGAATGAAAGGCACACATGCAGGGGGAAGCAGCACTACACAGATTTGGGAGCTGCAGGCACACCAGCAACTTTGGGCTGCTACAGAAAGCACAGAAATCTGTCAGCAGAACTTGTCTATTTAAAGTCAGAAAAAATCTTTGAATTATGTGAAGTGTTTCCATCATACCATAATAAATCCCCTGGCCCACAGCTACCTAGCAGCAAGGGAGAACTGCATTAGCAGGGCAGCAGCTGCCTGGGGAGCCTCAGGCACTGTAGTTTGTGTGCAGCTCTCAAGTGTCTCCTGTATCTGCTTGAGCCACACTTAAAGCAGAGGGTCCCAGGTGAAAGCTGCYCCAGCCATGAGCCACTGTCCCAAATCAGTGCTGTTTCTATCCCTGCAGCTGACAGCAGGGCAGGAGGTGACACAGACACCCTATAACTGAAAATAGRGAATATTTAATTGGTAGTAAGTCTGCTGATAAACCCCAGAATCAACAGCTTGTGATTCAAATCCCAAGTTCATCTATAATGGAAACAGTCAGATTGGGAAGCCTGTGTTTGATGCAGTGAAGTGAGCAATCTGGTGCTTCCAGTTTCCAAATTCCACATTGTCATATAATTTGTCCAGCAAAATCAGCACCTTGAAAGTACAAGCAATTCACACAAACATATCTTGGCATAATGTCTGCACAGTTCTTTTAAAAAACAGGCTTCTAATTACACAGTGTGTTTTAGCTTGTTGACTTTGGCAAGGAATCATTTCTCTTTTAGTACATTGGTTTAGAATAATAAGGTTTTTAMAGTTATATATTATTGGCAGGATAGAAAGCAACTTCTGTTAAACTGTCTACAATGCTGGCRTATTTATGGGTTCAAAGATACAAAGGAATTGAAATTCTAAAACACAAAATCATATGAAAAAGCAGAAGASTGAAACTACAGCTTGGATTCCCTGGGCAGAGGCTTCTGTATTTACTCTGCAGGGTTACCTCTGTAACAAGCAAGTTGGGTTTGAGCTGTTCATTATTTGTAAAACATCTTCCAATATTTGCAAAATGCTGTATGAAATGGTGCCAAAAAAAGCTGCTAACTTTCSGGGTTGAAATGCTGCCTTTTGCAACCAGAGGTCTTGCAACCAGTCAATGGCTGTTCTGCAGTTTTTGAAAGGGAGGATTTTGCAACAATGAACTAGACCACTGCTGCTGTGGGTCTGCCATCCCCATGCACAGCCACTGCTGATTACATGAGCTTTGAATGRGCTGACTGAACAACCTTCAAGAGAACCCTAATAGAGCAATGAAACAGAACATGAGAGACATGGTAAACTAATACCGCCTTAAACTTCATCCTGATTTCACAAAACACATAGTTCAAGAACCATCATATATAACTGGATAGAGAAAATTTTAGGAATCTATTACTGTTTGCATGACACATTTGTTGGCTTGGATGATGCCACTACTGATTTTTATTTGGAAACCTAAGTCTGTGYGTCCATATCAAATGGTGAGCTGATAATGTCAATTTTATTTAGTTCATTCATATAAATCTTCAACAACAAAACCACATTGCAGATTAGAAACCATTTTCAAATAGCAAAGAAGCAAGCATGATCATATCTTGAAAGTGTAATTATTTCAAGATAAGACATTTCTGACATTTATATATAGAGTAACARCATGGCTTTAACTGTGATTTTCTTGATGAAAATATCAAAAATACTTGGAAGAGCTTAATTTGYATAGTTTTCTTCAAAGAAACTTCTTTTTCTAGGGAGTTAGATTTATCGACCAGCAGGAAACAGCAGGATCACTGGCTGGCTCAAGCCTGTAATCTTTCTTGAGCAACCTGAAATGAAGTCAAAACAAGAAAAATTGTGATAACACAATCAGAAAGGCAGGGCTAGAATTGCCCTGATGTGCAGATGGCACCAGGAGTCAGAGGCCC